TAAAACTGGTCGCAATTTTCGAATAAGAATGAGTCGGCAATTTTTAGTGGAGTCGAAAATTTGGAGGTAAATAAAACACCGAAACCCAGCAAATAAATAGGTGGTCGAATTTTTAGAGGGGTCGAAATTTTGGAGTTTTCACGGTACTAATTATTCCATTTCAATGAAACTTAGTACAAAGATGCTCTAGGACAATGTACAAACCTAATTAGTTTGGGGTAAAAATCTGTTCATATTAATTCCCTAATAAGCATAATAATTCATAATTTTTTGGTTCTAATCACATTTCAATTAAACTTGGAGACATAGATTTTCTGTTACATTGCGCAGACCTCATTAGTTTTACACTCAAATCTGGTCATATTAATTTTCTGATTTGCATAATTAGTTTTCAGCTAAGTAATTTCGAATTATATTTAATGTGTCTCCAATACTCTCAGCACATGGGAGTTCTTTCTAAGCTTTCTTTGATTCAGATTGGATTCAAAAAAGACTGACTGGTGGTCATTTTATTTTATAATGAAATGCAATTCTTGATCCAAATCTCTGACCTTATTCTCATCGTTCATGTTAAAACTTGATATATTTCTTTAACTTGAATTAATACAATTACTTATTTAATTAACTTCAGTTATTGGAGAAACATTTCACCTTCTTAGAAAACCATAAAAGAAAAGATTTGTCCCCTTCCTGCTACCTTAAACACATGACGTTTTATATAATAGCATATTAATTAATTAATTAATAATTCTGAATGTGAAGTTAATTTAACAGGTTATATTAATAATTTATAAATACATTTTGATGGCAAAATTAAATCTACATGTCAGTGAAAAACTAATTTGCATGTCCGACAGATCATAAGATGACATTTCTATTTTCAAACACCTACACAATGAGGGCGCCCTTCATTGGCCAAAACACTATAGACATGTTTATTCTCAAACCATTGGGCTTTAAAAAAACAGTTCTGCCAAAAAATCAGCTTTGGTTAGTTTTCTGTCTATTTTTTGAAATCATTGAAATTTACAGGAATTTGTCTCTGGTATTAGAATACAATTATAGAGCTTTTATAATACTAATTTAAAAACACATTTCAAAGACATAAATCACAATAAGTGCTTAGGGATATGCCCACTTTGTACTTACTTATGATACAAAAGACACAAAATAAAATAAAAAATATTTATAGTTTATAGCTCTGTCTTTTTTTGAACACAGTTCAACACTTCTTCTAGAAAATACCTT